TTATTGTAAAGCTACTTTAACAGAATCTTGCAAATTTGAAAGTATAATTCTCCTGCTGTCTCAATTACAGCCCAAGAAACTAGGGAGGATCCCTTCTAAGCCTCTTGCCCCACCCACTATCCAGCTGTGGACTATGCAGTCTCTTATCTGACTATTCCCTAGGTGATGTCTCTTGGCCCTGTCTCCCAAAGTCTTTCTCACATACCATAACATCATGTGATCACCATTTGCATGCTTCACAACCAGCTTCCAACAAGCAAAATCAATGGAGAAGCCAGCAGTAAAATTGCAACTTGTGGACATGTGATGTCTTGCTTAACAACCATGGTGATGTGCTTAATGACTGCAGCAAAAGTGAGGTTGTAAGTCTGTTGTGGTCACCTGATGTCTTGCTTAATGAGATCATCACTTAGTGATGGAGTTGCTGGTCCCAATTGTGGTAATTAAGTGAAGACTACCTGTATTAGGGTATAGAAAAGCCTTTATGTTATGGCAGCTAATTGTCCAATCTGTAGCAAGAGATGAGCCTTTGATTAACATGATACTAAGCAATCTTCTAGTAGCTGGAAAAAGAGAGCTCTCATTGGAGGAGATGCGATACAGAGTAGCCCATTCTAGCTGTAGTAATTCCTGACGTCACATCCCTGGCTTGACTGCCTAAATTAACCCAAGTTAAGTTGCAGTCAGAAAATTGGACCACAGAATATCAGCAGGATAAGGCAGGGGATGAGACAAATGTTTGTGCAAAACAGTTCAGAAGCAACTGAGAATGGGATTCCAAAGTAGATCATAACTGGATTATCAAATAATTGAAGACCCAAATCCAAACATTGGCAAATATCCAGTCATACAAGTGAACGCAAGCTAGTCATTCAGATATGTTCCAGAGGGTCCTTTAAATGCTCTGATCAAATGTCAGGTCCATGTGAAGGAAGCCTCTTAGTTTTACCTCACAAATTACCTTTACAGCAATTATATGGCTGTTAGTTACCGAGCCATATATTGTGATCTATAAACTAATCTGTCAAAAAGAATCAGGTTTATTGCAGATTTTTCAAAACAACTTCTCCTTCTCCCTACCAGTTATTAGGAGCTAGATTTTGTTTCTCTTTTTAATAAGCCTTTTAATTATTATACCAGGGTTCTCCTGAGAATAACAGCTCAAGAGAAAAAAGAGATTATGTTATTCTAGCAATAACATACAAAGGAAAGGAAGGGGAAAAGCTGTATTTTTCTTTCTAGTATTAATCCATTAGAAAGAACAATGTACTGTCACTTCTTCGAAACAGGGCCAGAAATCTTTTAAAAGCAGAAATAATAAGATGCAAATCTAAGCTTCTGAAGGTACAGTACACCTTTGGGTCTGGTCCAAAGGGAACTTCAGAAATCACTCCAAAGGACTTCACAGCCTACCAGATATATGAATAGTCCTGGGTATTGAGTCAGCCTTGAAGATGTAATTTGTTCATTCCAAAGTTGATCAAATTTATGAGCATAAAAAACAATATCATTTTTAGTTAACTGCATTCAGAGCATAAAGAAGAGATGCCATTCCGGTAATAAAATTACAACCTGTTTTGCCTTTCAGAATTTAGTAACTCCAGCCAATTTGTGCAATAAATGAAGCCCTTTGTTTTGTTTGGGAGTTTAGCACTGATGGAGTGCGATATTTCAAGGGGAGCTGCAGGCTTTCATTTTTGTTAGAATATGAAATGCATTCCCAAGTCTTCCTGCAAACTGGATATGTTTATGTTGCTTGCTATTCCTCTTTGGTGCAGTTTCAGCATAATTTGGTTATTGTACTGTAGATTTTCTATTTATTCCACCACTACTCCTCAGACATGCTTTTCCCCTATACCACGTAAAGGTGAGATTGGGGAAATGCAGCTTCACATCTTCCCACAGACATACTGGATCACCTTTGTCTAAGCCTAAATTATCTTAAGATATTGCTGTGAGGATAAAAGATAGGATAAGAAACCCACATTAGCTTGAGCAAATTGAAGGATATGCTGAACAGAATTGTAATGAACAAGGTGAGTTTGGGCATTTCCAAGGACTCCAGAGAAGGAGACAGCCCACTGCTCTTACAGTAATTCTGTTTTACTTTGCACAGAAATGTCCCCCCAAACAAGATGCAGCTGCAGAGAATTCTCAGCTCACTTGGGTCACCTTTTTCAGTGCTATTTCTCTCAATACTGACGGTAGAACTATAAATGAATGACACTGTGGGAACAACGCTAGCTCGTAAGAACTATAAGCTGAGACGTATGATCATCATCCTGATTTTTTTTTCCTAAAAAAAATAGAAAGAAAGTTAAGTACATTTTAGTTAAGCAAAGCCGTTTGGTCATGATAATCTATGCCATATATTTCAGCAATATCTGGCATAGTTTAATCCAGGGGAGCACCATGGCTGGTGGGCTGTCCCTTTTTTTGTAGTTCCCAGAAATCAAACCTCCAGATATTGATGGTAAAGTGCGAAACATATATGTGGACTGTAACCAATCACACTGGTCCAGTGCAGGTGGGTAGACAGACGTTCTTCAACTTCCCAGTCTAGGGCTGAGAGAGCGTGAGTGGGCCACGGATGGCTTTTGTGCCTAAAAGAAGACTAGAACTCCTGGTCTCATGGCTTCTGGTCCAGCGTCTTTAACCACTACACCAAACTGGCTCTTATATATGTGTGTGCCTCTTTTAAGTTTAACACACTGAAACAAAAGAGTACAAAACAAATCCCGCTGAAAATCTCAACCTTGCTTACTTCAGTGATTGCCTCACTTGCTCCAAAAGATTATTTGCCCCATTCGTAATGTACTTCATCAGCAACATTATTGTCAAGGCAGGCTGAGAGTTGATGCTTTATTGGCTGCAGAGGAGATTTCCTTTAGCTCAGCCTTTTCCAACCTGGTGCCCTCCAGAGGTGTGGGATTTCAACTGCTGAAATTCTGAGTGTTTTATTCCAAAGATCACCAGGCTGGGAAAGGTTGGGTGGACCAGAAGGGCTGACAGCTATACACAGTCTTTTTGTGGCACAGCAATTCAAAATGAGAACTGGCTGGAGTCCGGAGATCCTTGTGCAAACTGCTTTGCGCTCTTGGAAAAAAGGTGAGTGTTTATTATTATGATCTTTATCATTATCAAAGTTTAAAGTAATTACATTATTTCTCCCCACAATATTTCCTTTTCTGGTGCATTAAAGATGGGAGCAATCTGGACAGAGGCTCCGGGGGCCAAAAGCCAAAGCTTTTAAAGTTGCTCAGGGTAGGCTAACAATACTAACCAAGGTCACATTTCATTAATGTATCAAACTTTGCTCTCCTTTTTAATTTGCTGCAGTTGCAAAAGTGGGGAAGAGTATGGAACTGAACTGAAGAAGTATGGAGGTTATGATTTCATACATGTATACCCAGTAGGGTTATTCCATTTTGGAGTAAGCAATGTTATAGAAAGCACAGGAAAAGAATAAATAGTAAGCCAAAGAAATGAAAGTCATATGTAAGAGAGATCTCTCTTACAGCATGATAAGAAAAAGGAAACATAGTTAAATAAAATGTATGACAATGCCATTCATTTGTCCATACCTTTCTATGCTTCCAAACCATGTCATGCCCATATACTGATTCATACATTATTTTCTCTTCTTTAAATTTCCTCACCTTTTTTTCATTTTGAGGAACCGATCAACTCCATCCAGACATTACTTTCTAGGTTTCCTTCTTCCTCTTGACCCATTCACTTTTCCTTTGTGCTTTTGTTCTGCTATGTCATCCTCATTTATTCGCTGTATATGACCAAACCAGGGAAAGACAAGAAGGAAAGCAAGAATGTACATCAAACTAAACTTCTCTCATGCTACTTGTGTCAAATGTGCATACTGTTATTGTAGGACACGTTGGAAGAAGGAAATCGTTTTGACATTTTATGCTTCTATTCCATTCCCACTTACCTGGGAGTAAGCTCCATAAATTCGGAAGGATTTACGTATAAGCAGAGATGCATGGGAAAGATGCAAAATTGTACAGAGTCTCTTATTATAGCCATGCTTATGTGAAAAGTGTCTGGATGATTTTTATCTGTAATATCTGTATATCTGGATTTTTTCATCTTGTCCCCTCTCCCACCCCACTATTTACTTTCCTTACCTTTAAATCTCCACCAGAATAGCAAATGCAAATAAGAAGTGTACCTGCCCCTCCACTTGTCTGTTCTTCCTTAAGTCAGCCATCTGGGAGATCAAATTGGTTACTCCTAAAAGTCACTCACAGCAGTCAAAGCAGCCTCAGTAGACAGGGCTTTTAATGGAACAGAGTGATGTGAATACTCCTAAAGGAGTGCTAATGCCTTAACAGCATCATTTAGAATACCAATGAACCGTACCTTGAAGGTGCTTTGATGACCCTTACAGATGTGCTAAAGACAGGACGCCTCAAAGGAATACACATATACCCACACTCACTCTCTCTCGCACACACACATGCCCCTGCCAACGACTACATAGAAAATATTACCCTTTTAGATGCAATCACATACAGTAGTAATCTCTGCACACTTTAAGCTTCAGTGGGTGCATATGCAACAAAGTGGAATTACCTGCTCTGATACTTTCACAACAGCCAAATCAGATTGCTTCCATTTATTGTGAGCCACTTAAATTTCTGATTCGGTTATACAGTATGTCAGCACATGGTACATTGGCTGAAGAGCTGGCTTGTGAATATTGGCTCAGATATCCTTTGTAAATATGCTGTGACACATCCATATACATCCATTAAGGTAGTAATGCTAAAATCCATCATCTGTTTGATATTTCTTTCCCTTATTATAGTCTCATGTATCATTGTGCAACATTATTCTTCCACTGAAATTCTTGTAATGGTGTCATCTAAAGCAAAACTATGTAAGAAAATTTCCCCCTTTCCTTTTGTAGCAAAGTGTCAGCTTTCAGCTGGGAGAGAAGAGTGGTTTTTGCAACTCGTATAGATATACAATTTGAAGACATTCATGGGGAAGAGATCTAGCAGCTATAAAAGGGATACTGACAGGTCACATGCAGCCCTCAGCCCACACTTTTTGCATGCCTGCTTTACAGTGAATGGGCAAACTATTTTGTTGAAAATCTAAAAGGGAGAATTGGCCTAAAGGACAAAGTCTGTTATGATTCATTTAAATGTAGATAATACAGTTTAACAAATGGAATCCACAACAGAATGTTGCTGTGTAAAATATTCTTGTTCTCAGGATATTCCCCTCCATCTTCCCATGAGTATTTCACAAGCACAGATACTTTTCTCTTGTATGTTGGTATGGCTATTTTTGGATTTTTTCATACATTAAGAAGGGAGCAAGCAATACAACTTCAAAGCCCCATATCTGCTTTCATCTTTCATAGCTATCCACAGACATGTTTCCACTCATCTATGTACTGTATTTCCAAGCCCCACTTTTTTTCAAACTTCTTTGACCCATTCTGCTTTCATGTATAGTTTCTTTCCCCTCTCCTCACATACTTGTGTATCTACTTTCTCCCACTCATACCTTTAACTTCCATTCTATTCCTCTTCTACACTGGAAATTGGTTTTCAGCCAGCAGTGTACTGTTCTTTCATGCAGGGTACTAGTACAGAAGAAAAGCCCCCTCTCCCCCTTTTTTTAAATTTCCAGCCTAGCAGAGAAGGAAAAGCATGGTGAGACAGCAAAATATGAGGTTTGGAGGGATTCAAGATCTCACGGGCACCAGCTTGAAAAAGACTGACGAGTTAACATGATGTCTCTGTTCCAGATCAGGAATTCAACCTTCTCATGTTTGAGCCACTAGTGACCAACAACTCTCAGTTGCACAAAAACTGTGGTGAGTAACCACTTCATATGTGGGAATCTCTATTGTGGTTGTATAATTAGTTTTTGGCCCCGAACATAGTAGGTGTCTGTCTTCTTACAGAGGGATAGTATTCATGTGCTAAGCTTGTGACCCTTTATTCTGCAGAAACTAGGGTGGGAAGAACTCAATCAAATGATACTTGAAGATATAATTACATTCCAAATGGAACATATGTTGCTCCTAAGAACAACCAGTTATTTGACAGACAGAAAAATCCAGGAGTACTGTATAAAAAAACAATGCATCTACATCTTTATTTTCCAGGTCAGATACTCAAAATAAAATGAGACTGACAACCCACAACAAAGGTGTTCAGTCAATAGCAGAAAATAGCTAATGAATATATAGATGGAACTCTCCTGTGTTGGGCATGATTCACTGGGACTGAGTTCTTAGCAAGCAAATGCTATAAACATTGTAGGGAAGAGGAAATAGGTGGAGGATACAGTACTTAGAAAAAGGGAAGGGGAGGGAAGAAAAGTCTGCATGGAATAGGCCAATTGAGGAAGGAAGTTTCCTACAATCAAAGCTGAAGAAGACAAACACAATCTGAAGGAACTTTTCAGTAAGCAGGGTCATTTCTGAGAAATGGGCATGACAGAGAGAAGACACTCATTGGGCACTAAAATGATTCAGCTCCAGTTTGACAGATATGTTGCACTATATATTTATTGGATTTGTTAAAGCTGCCAACTCCAAGAAGATTCTGGGTGGCATATATTAAGCCCAATACATAGATTTAAAACTTATTGAAGTCACATAATTGCCCAGATCGAAACAATGCTCCCCAATATGCAAAAACTCAACTGGGCTCCACAACCACCCTAATCCCGGCCTGGGAAAAGAGCCAGGTCTTAAGGAACTTCTGAAAACCAAGCAGAGTGGGAGCCGTGTGTATCACTGGGGGAATGTTTTTCCAGAAGGCAGGGGCTAAGGCAGAAAAAACACACTTCCTCAATCCCATAAGATGACAGCATTTAATTGATGGGACCTGGAGTGTGCCCATTCTGTCTGAATAACCAGGTGGGCAGAAACAACTGGAGACAATTGCATCCAGTAGCCAACTGGTAACCAATGCAGTTTGTGTAGCATGGGCATAATGAGAAATATCCATTACTACTTGCACTGCTGAATTTTGAGCCACTTGTAGCTTCCAGATGGTCTTCAAGGGCAGCCCCATGTAGAGTGAATTGCAATAGTCCAATCATGAGGTGACTAGGGGATGAGCGATGGTCTTAAAGGCCTCCCAGTCAAGGAAAGGGCACAGCTAGCTCACAAGATGAACCTGTGCAAGGGCCATCTTGGCCAGAGCTGCTACCTGCTCTTTGAGCAGTAACTGCCAATCCAGAAAGGCCCATAAGTTGTGCAGTAGTCCTGAGTGGGGAATATGTAAGCTCATCTAAGACCAAAGGTGAAAAAGTCCCTGACCTGAGGGCTCAAACAGCTATAGTCCTTCAGTTTTCTCAGGATTGGGCCAAAGTCTGCTCCTCCCCATCCAGACCCAGACAGCCTCTAGACACTGGGTCAGTGCTTGGATAGCATCACATTCACAGCCCAGGGTTGAGATGTACAGTTGGGTATCATGGACATACTGATGATACTGAACCCTGAACTGATGGATGACCTCAACCAGCAGTTTCATGAACTGTAGATATTAAACAGGAGGGGTGAGACAGTCAAACCCTGAGGTACCAGAGAAGTGAGTGGCTGCTGGCACAATCTCCCCCCACCCGCCTGCTGAGATGGCCCTGCCCAGTTCAGCATCAGAAGCTGGTTCTTGGCTGAACCATTGCTGAGAAACAAGAGGAAGCATAAGACGTTTTCCTTATTATGAGTGTGTAACTTTTTCAGGCCACGGGTTGTGTGAGTGGCATGTTAGGGCTGAACTTGAAAAAAATAAAAGGTTGAGTCAGGACAAAACTTGAGCTGGATTTCATTTAAATTTTAATCTGACTGCAATTAAACGTAGGTAATATGACTCTTCTCCAGGTAGGTACTTAATAATTTTCTCTTTCCATCACATGAAAGTTCTCACATGTAACAGCTTTCAGAGATCTGTGGAGGCCACACCAAGGCCACGGAGATCATTACACAAATGACATAAACTGATGTAAATGAAGTAAACAAAATCTAATCTAATGTAAATTATAAGTGCTTCTCCAAATGATAGACGCAAGGAGCTTGTCTGCTATTTTGAGGGCTATCTAGACAGAAACTATCTATTAAATGTGGATCCACTAAATCTAGGTTTTATTGTAAAATTTGTGGCACTGAATTTAAAGAGATCAGTCCGAGGGGTCTTTAAAAGCCATGAAAAAGCAGTATGGAAGGCACAATGGATCATTTCTGCTGTAGGCCACCACAAGGTATGTCTGGCCTAGTGGAGATAATTAATGGAAGGGCTTAAGCAGCATGCTGGCAACTGTATGCACTTACAGGAAAGAGACTGGAAATCCTCTTAACTGTTGATCCTCCATTGCCTTGGAATGAATACAAACACAGAGACCTTTTTCTTGTGTAATGCCTGATTGAAATGGGGGAAAGAGCAGAGCAGATGACATTTCTGTCTTCCTTAACCTTTCTGAGGAGGGTAGGGAAGAATTGGCCTTTGGTGTAGAAAAGCCCAGGTGCTACTTGACAGTCAACTTACAGCTTTTGTAAGGTCAGTGTGCTTGTGTGGTTTGGGCACAGCTGCTATCTTTTCCTTTTTTACCCTTGCTTTCATTTTTTTAAAAAGCCTTAATCTGCCATTGAAGAGATTTGTAAAGCAGCCCAAAGCCTTAATTGACGCCCACCAAGATTTGTCCACAGCTGAGTCACTGCTTAAAGAGCTGCCCTTTGTTGTATGACTCCTCTGTTGAACATCCTTTCAGAACTGAGTTAATTTTAGAAATGAAGAATTT